TCCAGGCTCTGAGCGTTTCATATCCCCGACTGTTTCCTATTCCTAAATTGAAGGTCACCTGCTTTCGGCTGGGGTTGACCCTGCGAATCTCCACCCTCTTCTCCATCAAGCGCTCATTTGCTCATTTCCCATGATAATTGCCCCCGATCCCATCAGGTCCTCGGTGAGCTGGAAAGGGAACTGACGGAAAAAACATCGTGTTCCTACAGTTGGAAAGGACCGAAACTTGATTTTATTCCGTCGAGCCTTTGGAATATTTATGCTTCATGGCTCAATCGCAGGTTTTCAATAGATTTCGGGAACAGTCGGAATGGCCGGAAGGAGGCTCGATTGTTGTCCAACCTCAACTTCCGTCCAAGGATCATCGATAGATAGAGCGCAGGACAGAACTCATTGAAAACATTGACGGAGAGACGTCCGGAGCAGAGAGCAGGAGGATTAGAAGTTTTACGGTCGAGAGCTTCTTTCGTGATTCGGCTGTCTGCCTCTGGAGGAGAAAAGTGTCAGGATGGGATTGGAATTCCGCTGGAATCGCCCCAATGTGCCCGATGTGACCTCCCTGTGCGAAGATCACTTCCTGCTTTCCATTATAGCGCGGCGCTTCCTTGAGATGACCTCTGCCGAGAACCATGAAGTATAAGAGAATTTCACATCTGATATAATCGGAAGCCTGATATCGGAAAGAGGAAATTTCAAGGATGAAATTAAAGCAGAAGTACCTAATCAAGGAAAAGTGTTACGACTCATGCATTAGGCTGGGATAGAGATGACTCATCGATTATTTCCTCACTTTCGCAATCGAGGTTTATTTACAGGACCTTCATAAATAATTTCTACTCATTCCGGATGTTCCTGAGACGGTCGCTTCTGAGTTGGCGGCGTGTCCGGACATATCTGAGCTTGTCTTCTCGTCGAGAAATTATTCTTAATTCTCTCGCTTAGTTTCCATACCCCTTCTCGTTCTCCCCAGCGTTCTATCAATAGGGAGGCTCGTCACCTGCTCCCTGTCCGAGTCTAGCCTCGAGAGTCAGAGTAGTACAAAACAGAAACGACTGAAACACAATTTTCGCTTATTATCCTCCGCCCCATCCAATCAAGCATTCATTGGTTACACGATCTATCCAAGTCAGTTTCATTCGTTCATCCAATCACCCGATGAATCATATCCAGTCTCTCCACGATTGTATCAATCCCTCTGACCATCCACTCGTGATTCCAGAAATTTATTTACAGATTTGCGAGCCCATCCCCTACCAGGTGAACAAAAGTGACCTGAGCTCGGTAGACGAACACACAGGCAGGAAGCCAGAAAGGTAGACGACTCGAGGAAGTGATCGAGCTCACGATTAATCGCTCGACTGTCTACCCGACCGCCCGAACCACCGAAATTCATGTATGGATTATATGTACAAGGAAAAAGAGGTGCTATTCCTTGCAGTCGCCATAAAAATGCAAAAATCACATCTCCCAGCTCTCGTCGGAACCTCAAAGCATTGGAACCTCCGCCAGCTGCGCAGCTGGGAGCGTAGGACGAAACTAGCAACTGCATTCGCACCGTTAGCACCAACTTCTCTTTCAGACGTCGTGGTTGCCGTATTTTGTTTCCGCCTGTAGATTCAATTTTCTACAGAGGGAAGCATCCAGATCCAGTGCTACGCAGGGAATCAGTCGAATTCGCCCGGATATGATTTCCTCGCTCATGGTAATGGAGGAATAACGAAGCAACTTTCTGCTCCGCCAGCATCACAACAGTCGACGGGATTGCAGCCCGAGCGCATCTCCAGGAGGGAAATAAACCGAACATGAGTTGAAAACACAGGAAATAGATTTGATTCGGAACAACGAATCGGACGAGAACTTTGGATCGAATCGAGCGTTGAATCCGTGGAGTTCCCATGAGGGAGTTTGAAAAAAACTGAAGTCGCAAACCCTTGACGCGAGCATCCCGATCTGTAATTATTGAAATCCGAGTTTCGGAAGTCAGTAAAACGCTCCGCTGATCCACGTCGCCCAACGCCGCTCTCCTGACCTTGGAGCTCAACGATTGGGAGCGTACGCTTCCCCAACGTCGGATACGTGCGTCGCCGGCGAGTCGACCGACTTTTCACGGTCGAAAACATGCGCGAAACTCTCAGTCGGAACGAGAACTCCGAACCCACGACGTCCGAAAGCCTACGGAGTTATTGAAGCACTTCATTTCTGATCGTTCTGGTCTGGGATTACTTTCTCAGAGGTCGGCTCCCATCACTGTCTCTGCATCTGTTGCTGCATCTGTACAAAGGAATAGAGAGAGTTGTTCAGAGATCGACCACCACCACGGCTTCGTTATCAGCACGGAGACTCCAATGAGTCCCAAGCGCCACCAATCAATCTCGTCCATCGTTTTCGCCGTCGATAGGTCTACGTAGAAAGAGGTCTGCGAGAAACAAATGTTATGTACAGAAACGACTTCCGGCGAAACTGCCAACGAGTGGGAATAGTCCGTTTTCTCATGCCTATCTGTACATTTGATGCTGTCAGGTCAACGAGACGCTCCCAAAACCGATAACGCACCGTACTGTCCGCAGATAGAAGGGTTAGTCTCGAGATTACTTTGAATTGGATCCGATGCCATTTATTTGACGTCATCACTCACTGAAAAATCACGATTGATTGAATCCAGTTTCCCCTCCTTAAGATATGAACGTGTCGATTCGGCACTGAGTGCGTGATTCGGGATGGGAGCGTCGCATCGATCAAATTCAGCGATATTTGAATTTGAGCTCTCAGTTATTGAATATACCCCATTATGGATCAAATCGTCCTTGGCTGCCTGTCCCGGTGAATCACAGAGGCAGCGATCCATCAAAAGCGTAATTTCTCCGTGCTTGAAACGAGCGACTCGGGCGATTGAGGGACAAACCATTTGCTTCCGGATGCCACCACGAGCTTAGAATGCGGTCAACCACGGAATGAATCCGCATCTCTTGACGCTTCTCGTGAGGAAGGACTGGGAAATTCGCAAGGCCGTCACGAGGGAAATTCGTTTTCCATGTCAGCTCCCCCCGAGAGAGGAATCGGAGAGGCGCTCGTTTCCGGCAAGAGAAAATGCAATGCAGATCAGAAGATTCGATCGGAACTCGACTTATCAATTTGATTGAGAGGAGAGAAGAAGTTAGCCGAACCTCGGACGATTTGATCTACCTAGGCCCAACACAAGCTTTTCTGTGAGCGTCCTCGCGAAAGCAGTCGGAGACTTTCTCTCAGTCTCGCCAATCCACGAAAAGTTGTTCTTGTTCCCTGCGTCATCCTCTTCAACTTTCGGGAGCTCCACGAAGAAGAATACAGCGGCGGCTCCAGCGGAAGCGACGGCTCCGCCGAATAAAAACTCGACCGTTTCTGTCGCTGGTGCTGCCTCTGCCACCGCAAGAAGGAGCTCCGGTCGGCGGTCGAAAGACCATCTCCTTCCCAGTTCGCCATCGTTGCTCCCTGATGATGGAGCTACGGCGAACCGTGATTACCGGGGACGGGTACAAAACGGGAAGTGGGTGGCGGTTGTGGATGCTCGTTGGGTGAAGGAAGCACCCTTCTTGCGCGAACGCTACCGATAGAGCTTCCGCCGTCTCCTTTGCCTCGACGGTGGCTCCGAACCCAGAGAGCCGTAGCTTTCCGATTCCATCCACAGTTCAATCTCAAGATTCGTCGCCGGCTCGCTATTCTTTTCCCAGCGGTCGATGCTGGATCTTGTCGCTCGCGAAGCTCTGGACGTCAGGAGAACGCACCTTGCTCTGCTGCCTTCGCGAGTTTTGCGCCGTTGGATGTGAAGTTATTGTTCAAAATTCTTATCGTCAAGCACTTTTCTCCCTCCAATATTCACAAATCTACAACAATCTTCTTCATGTTTCATCATGTCGTCGATATCACCCAGCTCAGAATGTTCGCAAGTCACTACTGAGCTCTCGTTCGAACATACACTGCCCCGTTTCCTAATTTCCTCGAAGTGACTCGCGATCGCATCCTCGAGCCGAGACGATTGATCATGAGTCCGAAGATACATCCTCTTAATGTAAAAAATAACACAGCTAAGTATCTCTCTGTCTCTCCGATTCTTATGCCCAACCTCCGTGCTCTGACCCGATTGGCTACCGATCAGCCTCCCGTATGATCAGCTGGTTGATTGACCTCACAGAAGCATTATATCGTATATCGAGGAGGAAATTCTCCGCAGAAAATTGAATCGGATAATCGATGCGATCGAAGTATACGCTGGTGAACCCTCCAGTCATCGCGTGGATAAAGATTGAATTTCCTGATGGAACAAATCACCGATCTGGTCAGTCTCTTATGCTAATCACCACGGCTCTAATTATTCTCGGAAGGATTTTTCGGATTCCGATCAATTCCTAGTTATTCAATCGATGAATGAATCAATCAATCATAATGCTGACTGACAATGAGTCATCGGCGAATTGGCTGTCGACGCAATTGCCGCATGAATCGGTAGCAGGCGGGAGTCACGAGGGCTGGTTGTAGTGGTTTCTGTTGATGTTGGTGTAACGATGTTGTGCCAATCTGCCAACTGGACGTCAGGCAAGCATCTCATACCTAAAGCGCTTTCGGCTTATGTCATACAATGTCGGCCTCGTGGTAGGACTGGTACAGTGATGGCGTACACGATGATGACGCGCCTAGAGGATTTAGGCTGAGGTGTCCGAGGGTGGGCGATGGATTGCACGAAAGCGAGTCTCCTCGGAGCGACGGTGCAACCAGAGAGCCGCTCGGACATGTCATCATCATGGCCGAATTCGGGCCCTGCTTCCTGGGCCGACCACCACAAAGGCGACAGAGAACGGGTTACCTGCAAAGGATCGAATCGTCAAGCACCATCATCGAGCAACCCCCGGCAGTTTTGGAGAATTATTCTCCTTGAATCCATCTCCCGAAGCGGATAACACAGGGCCGTCCGAGGGAGGAATCCGGGGAAGTGCCGAATGTAATGCTGTGAGGGTCGCGAACACTTCTCACCTGTGACGTTTCACTATCAAGTAGCTAATGAAGAGAAACACGATAATGGTCCAGTTGGAGCAACCCACGTTCGGTGGGCACACTGAACTCAGACCGGGACTCGCGTCGTGCTGCATAGCCGCCGGTTTTTCCCCTGGAAAAAAACACGAAAAATTACCGTTTAAGTATGCATCAAGCTTTGCCGCCATGGTTGTTTGCAACACGGCCGGCGTCGACATCAACGACTGCAGCACCGCCAACGATGATCACTACGTCGAGCTTTCAGTGCACGTAATGCTCTGCGCGGAAACAAGCATGCCGACACACCGGCCGCAAGATAAGTTCCGTCTAGTTCGCTTCTGCCGGTCTCTAGGATCTAAAAAACATTACATCTCGACGGCAGCGCTCCAATTTACGGAGGAACAACACAGGGACTGCACGTGGCGAGCTGCTAACGATGAATCGGTGCGTCGTCACTGTGGATGATGGACGTTCTGTAGGCTCCGCGGAGTGTCATCTCCACTTCGCAATCTACAAACCCGGAGCTTCATTAGGTATATGGAAATCATTGAGTGGATGAAGTTCATCTCATCCCTCTGCGTTCTCCCGACCTATGAGTCGATCGGATTCGATATCTGTTCGGGGTATTTCTCCGGGAACGAATACGAATGCTATCCAGGATCCGAGAGCTCGGGTGTTTTCCCGAGCGCGGGGGAAGGAACCATGCGGAAGATGGAATCATGAGCCGTTGAACGAGGCTGCAACTCCCTTGATCGAAGTCGCAAGATCAGCCTGGACATAAGATCTCTCCTTTCGTGTGGCGAGGATCCCATGCATAACGAAGAATCATCGTCATCATGGCCATCAGTCATGTTCTCAGCGTTATCAGCAGCATCGCTGATGCGTGAGATCCAATGACACGTTAAAAGATACGCGTCATACAGTGGGGGAGCAGTCGCGTAAGAAGCGGCTCGCCTCCCCATATCTCCTTCACGACCCTCTCCATCTTTCGATTCCTCCCCCAGTCACCGAGAAATAAGGCTTTTCCACAGCTCATCAAAGGCGTCCTTGGAGAGGATTCTTTTTCTCTGCTCCGAATGTCTAGCTGGAAGATTCGGCACCCGTGGAACGATTGTGCCGCCAAACCAACTCAGACGTTCGTCGGATTCGGCACCACCAACGGGAGCGGCGGAGAGGGACCATTCATCTAAAACATGATCGATTTCCGAAGCGATCCCGTGTTCGTCCCTCTTTTCCCTCCAGGTCCTTCTATTTTCTCCCTTCGGTATAGTCCCCTCTGGCTGCCCTCCCTTTCACAGCGTACATGTTCTCCCGCTTGTTCTCCCCTTCTTGATCAGAGTATCTACTGGATGGCTGTCTGACTGGATGGTGAGTCGGATGGCGTAGCGGCTCGATGGTTGCCGGCACAATGGTCCGTGAAATATATAATATTGGGAGGAAAAAGACACACGCCGCACACGAGAGTGCGAGCCTAACAACGATCGACGCTCGAAACGATCGACGATCGAAGGGACGGCAGCCGCACCGAAGGAGGACAGGCAAAGCATAGGAGGAACCGGTCAGATCCTGAAGTGGAAGCCTGCTCCCAGCACGGCCCGGAGACATCGGAGAGCGTATCGTTCGGACACCGTCGAGGAGAAACCGCCGATTCTGAAGTGTCTCCTTTCCCAGCGATTTCAGCACCTCCTCCACTGCGGATCTCATTCTGCGGGAACATTTTAAAGTCACAGCGTACGGCTTAGGCTGAAGGTCATCGGGAGTGGCTCTCTGGAGATGTTGAGGCCAAGCCGACGACCGTGGAGGTCGCTCCAGCGTCCTCAACATCCATAAGCTACTAAGAGGGAAGTTTTCACTCTATCTGGAGTGTCCGACGTGCTGAGTTCACGACTGAATTCTACTCAATCAGTTGCTCGCAGCGGCGTTTCGTCTCCCACCGCTGAGGTCGGTGCCTCCACAGAGTAGCCGTGAGGGCGCGCGAAATTTTGAAGAAATCCTCTGATGCTCCGGTTTTCCTCAGCTCCCGTCACTTCCCCGAAAATTTGAGACCTCTCACTGCTCCATGGAACAGCCAATCGGTGTAATGTTTCAGGAGGTCCGGTGATGCCGTTCGCTCGTGATGCGGGGATCGCACCATTGTGATCCTGACTGAGTGACTGACCGACTCCATGACCAGAGGTGCGGATACGCTGACGGTCTCCCACGCCATATCCTATCGCTTGTTTACTTCTTCTTCGGCTCCTTCTGGCAACGAAGGTGAATGACACGAGTGTAGGGCTAGCGGGTGTCTGCGGTCCCACAGCGTCCGCTTGGTAAGACAAACACCCGCGAGATGGATACGTGGTATGCGGTCAGTTGGAACAATGAGCAAGCGGCACCGTCCGGCCGACGTACATACGTCAGCCACGCAATGTCGAAACGGGTAAGGCAGCCGGCCTACTCGCTAGCAGCCAACAAGGGGTTTACCAAACGTTGTAACGATCCTACGGATGGATCTAACCGATCACCTAACGCATATTGCTTAACGGATCGCTGCGTGCTCGGCCTTCTGCTCACCCGCTCCGTCGCTCGGTTGGTTTGTAGGTGGTCGCTCGCCCGCTCGTTCGTTCGTCCGTTCGCTGACTCGCTCGCCGGTCCGCTCTTCCGTTGGCAAGCTTTGCCTTTGCCAACTTGTCCACCTACCGCCCGGACGGTCAGCCGACTCTGCCCGAATGTAGGAAGTGCGTCGTTGCGTCAGGCAGACGCAAAGATCGCCTCTAAGCTTGTCGCCGTCCATGGCTTTCTGCCAACACCGAGCGGGCGAGAAAGTGACCAATAAGTCAACTGTCGAAGCTGAGCTAGTGTAGGTACAGTGTTTTAAAATTCGGGGAGTCAAGAGGTGCCACCCGATGAATCGAGAACACCATCGTATTCCGATGGGCACGGCACGATCCGGAAAGGAGCGTTAAGATTCTCGACCATCCCGAGACCGTGTACCATTCGCGAGGCGGGAAAAGTGGAAGAAAAATAATGGAAGTGGTGCGGGACCCTCTCGCGTTCCTCTCCCTGTATAAACAGCGGACGACTGGACTTCAGAAGAGTGCTGCCAAGAGGAGCAGACGGTTGCGAGGAGTAGGAGCTCGAGCGCGGGATTGGGATATTGTAATCCTGAGGCTCCTTGTTTCTATGGCCTCGAGGGCTTTCCAAACCTCCACGAGATGGGATGAGTTCTCTTGATCTTCACGGCTGCCTACTCGCAACGGTCGTCTACTTGGTGGTAGCGGTCTGCCGGCAAGCTCAGGCGATGGCAAGACAACGATGACGTCGTTGCGACCTACAACAACAAGGGCAGCTCGACGACGACGGCGGCGGTGGCGACCAGAGGGGAAAAACGACAAAGACGAAGGAGACGGGAGGGTTCCTTCCACCAATCCACTGACAACATGTGCCCGGATAGGAAACAGATATTGCACTGTCATCACTCCCGGAATGCCTCCTCGCTTGACACCCGGAGGCCGCCGTCCTCACGCGTCTTAACCCTCCCCGAGTCGCTGGCCACCTCCCCATCGTCTGCCCCGTTCCGATTGCTCACCCCAGGCTCCCTCGCTCTCAGACGTCTGTCTTCCAGCGAACGTATGTTTCTTTACATACGGGCGTCCCTCAGTCATGCGTTACCAACTGCTGCCCCGCCGTCGTGCCCGGCGCTTCCACCAATGGAGCCATCTGTGCTCCCACCTCGGAGTGTCACAGCGATCCTGTTCTCGCACTTCCATGATCACGTCACTGACAGCCGCCTCAAGTTGGCACCACACGCGAGAATTACCTCGCCATGGATACTATGCGTCATTTTGTTCTGTATCACTTCCACGTGTCCTCGCTCATTCCGCCCGTACACCATCCGCAACTGTCTCCCGAAGGCCGCTCATGGCTCCCGGGATGCTTCAGTTTCTCCAATTCGACTCATCCATCGACTGTCTTCTCCCAATAAGTCGGCGGCGGCGGCGGCGGCGGCCTTCACACGTCCGATGCTCCAATCATCCACAGGCCGGATGAAGGACAGTCCTCGCCCAAGTCGGACTTCGATTTCGTCTCGGTCCCACCAACTCAGGAGCTTGTCAGCAACATAGGAACGTTTCCCGAATCCTTGATGATAGAAATTCCGCCATCGACCGAGGTCCGTGGTTTATTAAATAAAATAAACTCGGTCGGTCGTTTCTAGTTCTCACATGGAAGCGGACGGAAGCCTCGACTTATCGGGGAAATATCTTGATTGCCGTGTTTACCGCCGGCGTGACTTGCACCAGACGGAGAAGAGTAGGGAACCTCGGCTTTCGAAGCCGCGTCATCTTGCTAAATAGCAAACGCAAACAGATATGTTCGTGCTGCAGGCCCTCCTGGCGGGCAAGTAAGCAAGCAAGCGGACGCACGGGCTATCAATGACCACTAGACGGTCCGGCTGGCCGGCAAGCCAACGCTTTTTCTCTTCACCCAGCTCGCTCCCGCGTTCTCTTCTCGCTTTTCCATGGCTTCTTCTGCCTCAATGGCTTTATCCTCCCCTTTCTCGCTCGCTCACTTGTCCCAATGCTCGGTGAGCCTTCCTTTTCCTTGGCTTGCCCGCTCCGGTCAATGTCTCCTAGGAGCCCGGAGTCCCCTGAGTGCTGAATTTTGTATGCTTGCTTGTGTACCCGGACAATATTCTTCCCTTCATTTTCGCAAACAACCCTCCACTACCGGACGTTTTTTTCGCTACTCAGCATCGCAGCGGTCGCAACATGAAGATCCTTCAGAAATGCCAGCGAGCAACTGAAACGGATCCGGCAACCGCAACCATGCGTCATTGGGTCACGCGACCGGAATCTAGAAGAGAATGAAAGACTATATCGAGTGCGGGGATCCTTCTCGCGACCTCCATTAGATCCTCACGCGAGTTTCCGCGCCCGATGCCGAGATGTTCCAAGGAGGAGATCTAAAAACGAGTCCAGAGAGTCGGACGTTCCCGGGGAAAATGTCGCGGGGAATCATTCCCCGCGGATTCTCCCTCGCGAGGAATTCCGCAGGAAAATCTCCCCCGCGGAACATTTGGCGCGAAAAACTCCTCCGCGGAGCATTTCGCGGGGAAGTCTCCTCCGCGAGACATTTCGCGGGAAACTCTTCCCCGCGGACCAGCAGATCGGTACGAGAACCGCGCTCGACCAGGGCGACTCTCCAAAGCGTGCACTGACCTAGACCTAGACAATCCACTCACCGGCTACGACGTGAACCGATATACTGACTGGCTCGGCGTTGGCCGGACCACACGTATAGTTGCCCGAATCGATGACCAGCGCTCGCCGAATATACAGCCGACTGACCGTGGTGTCGGCGCTGGTTTTCTGTAGCGTTGTGTCGCCTTTCTGGGGCATGTAGTTGATCATTTTTTCGTTGTGGTACCAAAACACGAACGCAGGCGCTTCGGCGCTCTCGCTAATGGTGCACGTCAGATTGATTGCGCTGCCTGTTCGGATGAACATCTCGGGCCCTCCCTCGATGCGGGCCTTGGCCACTGAAAGGAAAAAGTTCCCCCGTTAAAGTTTTCCGGAATGGTCGTCGTCGTTCTTACCCCGCTGCTGCTCGTCGACGCCGTCTTGAGATGAACTCGTATTGATTTTAAGGCTTAGCGTCGACTCTTTTTGTACGTGGAAAGTCAAGAGCTCGGCAAACAGCGGACGTCGGCCGACGGTCTTACGTTTCTCCGGCAGCTCCTGCAAGGGCCGTCGCTACCGCCGCGACTTGAACTGCCAGCGCTCGAGTAGAGTTCGTGAGCCATGGGAACAAAAGACTTTTGAGGTACGACGACGGCGACTCCATCGGAGGTCGGTAAATAGTGAAAGCTCTCAAGTCATGCTTCGGAGCTCCTGTTCTTCGTTGAGGATTCCTTTGGACAAGTTCCAGGTCTCCCGATCGATTCGCGCAAGTTCTCCCAGACGGAGAGACTTTTCCCGGATGTCCGAATCGGGAATTTCGCTGTCACGGCACCGGCGTTGCATTGCAGTCGCCCGACGGTCTCGCAGGTGCAATTTCATGGAGAGTGTCGCTCCCGGGGAGTCCTAAATTACGGGAGTCCGATGTCCGGAAAACTATTCAGCAAAGAATGGTTCTGATACATCAATTTGCGAAGATGATCCGGAGTCCGAGTCGGATCTTGGAGCCCAAAGGGAACACATCACGAATCGGTAATGGATCATTTTTGAACATCTGAATCTGCCGCCCAGGAGCCGTATTAAATAAAAAGAGACGCAGACGTGTTGTCCCTCGAGAAGCCGTCACGCTCGTCGTCCTGTCATCACGTGACCGTCGTTGACATGACGCCCGTGCGTCTCGTTACGACGAGGTCCAGGATCACCCAGGGAAGCAGGAAACACGCGAAGAGGAAACAGACCGCCATAAAAATTTGGACGGTTCGATGTTTATGTATTCGAGGCGGCTCGATAGCGATTGTAGTTCCCCTGACGCCGGTTTTGAAATAAAATCCCGACCGGCGAGTGTACGGACCTGTAGTACGTATTCGTCCCATTGGGGACCCACGGACCCGGGCTCGGACGCTCAAGTCCACGGCAGATTCCCGCGACGTACAAGTCAGTCTTCGGCACTTCGGCCAAGCGAGCCAGAAGAAAGATCCCCTCTCAAAAGCTCGCATTGGATCGTTGTACCAGGCCTATCTCGTGCCTCGTGAGTGGAATGGAGCCCGCGTTGTATCCAGATGTTGCTTTATAGCAAAACGAGCATGAATAGGGGACGGTGTTGTTTCGTGAATCTTTATTCATGGATTGCACTCGACCGAAATGTTCTCCACTCCGTGAGACATTCAGAGCGCAGAGGGAGCCGTGGTTTTCAGACCAGGCATCGAATAGGCATTGTAATCCGCTGTTCGACGGACCATTGCGGTGAACCGATCCCTTGGTGTTGGATGGGACCGGTCCTAGGGAAACTACGAGTCGACCTTGGAATTTAGGTTCATACTCGATGTTCGCGTCTCGATTTGATTTCCGATCCGAAGCGATATAGCTGCGAGAATCGGGAAGAGTAGTTTCGATAAGGCGCAGAGAATTCGAATTCCTTTCCGGGACGATATCGATGGGAGTATTCTGACTCCTCGTCGAGGCGATCTCTGTCACAGACTGCCATTCGAATATTTTGCCTATTCCTCTGATCTTGCGTAAGATTTGGATTTTCGAGCTCTCATGGCTGACTGTGTTGGCTGTTCGGTTCCGGCAGAAGCGGCAAAGGCTCTTAGTTCATTTGCGACATTCTCATGGCGGAGAGGGAAATTTTTGAAAGAACATAGTTGATCGGTACTCACCTAGGACGGTTAAATTGACAAAATAGGAAATCTTCGGGTCCGAAGATACTTGGCACTCGTATACGCCGGCGTCGCTTGTTTGCACGTACTTTATCTGGAGCGCCCAGTCGTGATTATCTACGTGCATCGTTTGGAAGCGGTCGTCGGCGGTGAAAGTGTCCATGCCCACCGTCAAAACGTGTCCATCTTTCCGCCGGATCCACAGTACCTGCAACCGAAGTAATAATGGAAATTATGGTCATGACAACGGGAAAAATACCGAGAGAGCTCCCACCCCGGCTGATGATGATGGTCGTCACGGCGCCGCCAACGAGAACAATAACGAGCGGGGAGACTGGGAGAGATCGAGCGGCGTTCATCAAACAGTGACGGCGAACGATTGCGATGGAATCGCTCGCTCGTGAGTCCCAGTCTCTGTCTCCAGTTTATCTCCGTTTTTTCCTACGTCCGTGTACGTCTTCTTCAGGCGGTCGGTTGGTCGGTCCGTCTGTCCGTGCGTCTGTGGGCCTATATGTTCACCTTATGTACGTCCCGAACTGTACGCTGTCTTTGGCGGCACCCCCACTGTCTGCGCGCTGTGCCGTCGGGCCGCTGCACGTCACTTGATAAATATACGTCCATACGTACGTTAGTGGCGCGCTTTCTGCGGCGAGTTTGTTTATTTCTGTCGTTGCCGCAAATGTACGCCTTTCATTCCATGTTCCTCGCTTTCGCTTGCTCAGCTGCCTGACTCGCTCGCGTCATTGGCTTCCTCGAACGACTGCGTGAATCGCCATGCCTCGCCAATTCACAATTGCTGCTGCCATCGCCGCGCTGCCTTGATAGGTCGATCGTGTGATTTCCAACGACATCACTGGCTTGTGACCAAAACAGTTATCCTTGTCCGACAATAGAGGGTGGAGAGAGCGGCAGGCGCCATTCCTCCCGTTCTCGACGTCCCCCATCCCCTTGCTAATCCTTTGTTGAACTTCCCCCTCCGATCGCTATATCTTGTTCAGTCAGTGTACGGGGAAAAAAACAACACCAGCCGATTTCACGGCGGTTTGTTTCCTGAATGGCATAACGATCAAACAACCCCGATCCGTGTCCGCTCTGAGCGACGGTGTTTGATGACGCTCCCACGGACGGCACGTAAAAGGTTTGAAATGTCGTCGCCGAGCTGCCTTGTGATTCATCGTTAGACACGACGCGGTCAGATGATCTCTTGCAATACTCTTGGCCTTGACCGGGGCAGCTTATCTGCGCAGATTCGATCATGCCCCGGCTCCCGAATCAGCAAGAAAGCAACGTTTTTCGGCGTCAGTATTGTTTGGGGAACATGCCAATCGAATTGTTGCGCAGACAATACCGCTCCGAGGCAGGAGCCCGCCCAAACATAGGTGGCACGACCTTGGCATACTGACGACTTCATCACATTCCGAGCGAAGGATGTTCTACGACGACGCGTGCCCATTCCGGCGTGCTCCTTCCGCCGAGGCGTATTTTCATCCTCTTTCAATTTTCCCGACGGGGTATTCAGCGATGGATCGAAAATGAAGTAGACCGTGAAAGACAGATATGAGCACGACATTTCAGAATGCGGATACTTTCGCCGGGACGATACTCGGGAAGCCTGGGCAAACACATGAAATACAAATACAAGCTCGAAGACTGTGTGCATGATCACACAGAAAGACATTCAGATGATCAAAGAGACGCCTAAGGAGTAAACATACGGCTTTATCTGAATGGTTATGTCCTTAGCTGCGGAAACGCCAACGGCACGGGGGTTGGGGGTCGCGGGAGAATGCATAAATTACGTGGAGTACTCGCTTTTGCCACTGAGTGCCCTACGAACACAATCGGGAAAAGAGCGACGATATATCGCCGCGAGAGGACCAGCGAATCTCTTCTGAGTGCTAGTTTCCTGTCACGACCAGGCTCAGTGCTGACTGGCAATTTCTACCGTCGCGTCGTCAGTTTCCTCTTTTTCCTACAGCACGTAAAAACTCACGTCGTTCGTCTTAGCCGATGGCGACCCGCAGTTCGCAGCCATATTTTCGTCTCCCGCTTACCGCTTCCGCTCTGGATTCGTCGCCATATCCGCTTGGCCTCAGCGGTTTCAGTTTCAGGACTCGAAGCTCCTCGAATCCTAAAATTGACCCTGGCGTCTCTCTTCGAGCACGACCGTTTGAGTGAGGGGCCTATCCGAAGGGACGGACAACGGGAGTCCCTCTCGACTTCGGCTCGTTCTCGTCACTCAATTTCCGTCTCTATCTTGAGCTTTTCTCACACGAATAAGTTCATCCGGACGTCGGCCGTATGTGTTGACAGCGAGAAGCCGAACCCGTCTGCACGGAAATCCTCTCGCTCGGACAGCAATGTGGAACAGAACGGAACTATCGAATTAGTATTAGCCGACTGGAATTCTCGCGCTTTGGCCACGATTATCAGAGCAAGCTCATGTTGCCACGCACGCCGACGCGCGACGTACGATTGGATACGCGAAGAGACACGCAGATGATCAAGTCCCGGATGTCAGCCAGGGAGCCTTCCGAAACTTTCTCCATGCGTCCCGAGCTGTTCTCGGTCTCTTCTTCGTATCCCTGAGTCATATTTAATCATTCCGATCGTACAACATTATTTAGACTCGAGCCAAAGACAACACAAAGGAACTCGGTGAGCGCGAGAAGGACAGAGAAGGATTGCTGTATGTAGAGGTTCAGAGGATATCGATGTGTCCGGTTGACACAAAGAAGGAAAAATGGCGTCGCGAGCGGTTAGAGATTTGTTCAGAAAATCTGTCTGTTGACACTTGTTGCCAAATCCGACGCCGGCATCATGTATCACGGGGAGTATCAGCGTCAAATGCGACGTCGCGTCGGTCTGAGTTCAGTGACGGAAGCAGACATCCTCTAAACAAGGTCGCTATTGCAGTCTATAGCAAACTAGTCCGTTGTCGTTCGCCAGCACGTTCACATCGAATTCTCGGGCGTCTCCTGCGCGAGGAGCGAAGACGCGAATACTAATATCTCGTATTCGCTGCTTCCGGAGCATTAGCCCGATAAGAGTAAGATGCCCGGCCCGACGGAATCTTCTCGCCTCTTGCCGGACGACGTTCCTGCGCCAGACAACACCATGTTTACCCAACACGCATTGACGTCGGATCTCGACAGCACCCATGCGGGGCGACGACATCAGCCCAAAGCAGCTCCGGAGTCGATATACGGGGACTCTTCGTCTGCGCCTATTCGGCCTAGAGCCGTCGCTGTCGGCGCGTTTCGTACGCCGGAAACTGGACGATGCCCGGCGTGAGAAAAAAGATTGCTATCGTAAAATTAAACAATATTCTCGCCCAACACCATGGCGATGCTTGAATGAATGACATTCAAGTTTGGACATCCGGAGGTCAGGGGTGACAACGATAGAAGATAATCTGATATTCCGAAGAAAATTATCGAATCACGTCCTATCGAGTTTGGGGAGCTCCCGTAGAAGGAAGCATGATTCCCAGTTTACCAAGTTAGACATTTGGACGACATTATTCAGCGTCCCCATCAATCAATCGATCACGATAACCATGGTTAGATTCCCCCCGCATTCGGGAGGGGCTCCGTCTATCCATTGCGAGGACAGAGCTTTCGAGTCGTGGTCCTCTTACGGGGTAGAGGAAAATAGTTCCCGTCTGACCACCGCCGGCGTCGCATCGTCGTCCCGAGAATCAGCTCATCCTCAGGTGACTCGGGGGAACGATTGAGTAGGAGAGACATGTTTCAATGTTGAGCACTCTTTCAGCTCTCTTCGAGATGCAGAAATCCTCTTGACAGCTCAGGATCTCCTTGCTCGAAGGCGGCGCGCGGCCTCACCCGCCAACCCACGTTCTGGTCAACGTAGGAGGCTTTTTTTCCTCAAGCATTGGCTCCTTGTTGCTTCGCAGGAAGCTTCCCAGCTCTCCCTTCATACTCTCCACGGTTCCCTTGACGGGCTCGTATCTTTCGCATCGTGACCTCAGACGCTGAACAGGAGATTGGGCTAGCGAGCCGGAGAGGAAGAGAACCCGATCTGCACGCGGAGTGACGTGAATCAGTTCACTGTTGTCCTCCTGTGGTTTGCTGTCGGTGCTTCCTCTCGGGGTTGCAACGCCGAGGATGGCGGGTCGGCACCGGATGTGATGGACCGATGAGCCGATTGGCGTCGTCTGCTCAAGGACGAATTCATGCCGATGTTCCGCCGGAAGCAGCTGCACATCCTCTGGAAAGATGTGGTGACACTTATGATAATAACAAAACCAACCGGTCTCCGGATGGCTGTCTTCCTGTGTCCCGTTCACTGTTCCGCTAACAACGAGGCAGCCGGGACAAGCAGACGGGCACTGAGGCAACGGCCGTCAGATGCGCAATCAGGCGAACCGGCAGGACGCCAGAACGGTTTTCAGGCAACCGGGCAAACAAGCAGCTGCCAGGATAGCAACCTGCAAACGGCAGGGGGGCGGGCCGGCGGGCGGGCGGTGGGCAGACAGGAAGGAGAACAACCCTTATGTTGAAGTGTAATTCCACTAATGGATCCAATACGTCTTGCGAGCATATGAACAGCAAACAAACGGACGAACGGGCGAAAGCGGGGACGAAGGAGAAACGCGGGGAGGCACGGACGGGCGGTCGGTCGGTCGAAGAGAAGAAAGGACGAACGACTGAATGAATGGCTTCCAAGGTGTCCAACCCACACCGGCCGATGACAATTAGATTAGTTGTCTCCCCGTGTAGTGGACTTTCGACGAGCGTTCGTTTTCTCTCCTTCTCGCCGTCCCATAACTCCTGAGCTCGCTCGCTCGTCCCCCTCCCATTCTACTGTCCCATCGTCGCTCCTTGGCGGCTGGACACAGAGGGTCTCGACGCTGCCGGATATGGAGACGAAAGTTGTTCGTTCGCGCGTTTTTCCCTAAGGCGAGTTCGCTCTGTGGGTGACAATTTTCAATTTTTAGAAGTGGGTCTCGTCATCTACCAGGGTCCTTTTACGATATTGGGTCGTGTTGTTCCATCCGTCCTCACGTCGTCGTTCTGCTGCGCAAGACCGACGGTCGACGCCAGTTATCTCTTAGTCTCCATCTTAGCGGATTCAAAGTTTCGTTTGTCCGACTCGGTGATTCCTCGCTGCGCTCGGTAGATCATCGAGGAAGACAAGCGGAACAGCATGGCGAGTCACCCATTGGACGCAAAGTTCGAGCGAGTC